ACTTTCAATGTAATTATGGTAGCAGTTGCATATTTAGTAACAAAAGGGAAAAATAGAAATAGAATGTAAGTGTCTTGTATTTAGGAATTAGCTAATCAGAATTTATTTGTGTTACTATAACTTAGTTTCTCATGTGCAATATACTGTCTTTATTAAAATACTTATCTTCCAATATAAAGCACAGAATTCATTAAACTTCACATCTTTCTTTAGAATTATTCAAAATAAATTAACTATCATTATTGTAAACAAAATAATGTGTTAAATTACTGGGGCTGGAGAGATGGTTCAATGATTAAGAGCACTGGTTGCTCTTAGAAAGGACCCAGATTCAATTCCCAGCACCTACATGGCAGTTAACAACTATCTGTAACTCTAGTCCAGGGAATCCAATGCCCTCTTCTGACCTCCACGGGCACTGCACAACATGGATGCACTTATGTACATGCATTATTTTTATTTTTTATGTGTATGAGTGTATTGCCTGCATATGTGTAAGTGCACCTGTATCGTGCAGTGCCCGTGGAGGTCAGGAGGTGTCAGATCCCCCGGAACTGGAATTACGGATGGCTGTTAGCTGCCACGTGGGTGCTGGATATTGAACCTGGGTCCTCTGCAAGAGCAATCAGTGATCTTAATGACTGAGCCATCTCTCCAGCCCATAATTTTTTTAATATGTTAAATTACTGATTTATTTTTAGAATTATCAGATGAGCTAGGATTGCCAAGAAAATTGCAGTGAAACTACTTCTGCTAGAACTAATTCAAAACTTCAGGCATGTTTGTAAAATTCAAGAAATATTTTTGTGTGTGTGTTTTCTTACATCAGTGGTAATAATAATGCTTTCTTTTCTAAATTTTTTTATGTTTTATTATTTTTATGTGTATGCATGTGTTGTTTGCATGTAGATAAGTGCACCCGTGTCATGCAATGCTGGTGGAGGACAGAAGAGGCTGTCGGATCCCCTGGTACTAGAATTACGGACAGTTGTTAGCTGCCATGTGGGTCCTGGGGTTCGAACCCAAGTCTTCTACAAGAACAGCCAGCATTCTTAACCTCTGAGCCATCTCTCCATCCTCTCTTTTCTAACTTTTAAAACTTTATTTTTATGTGTATGAGTGTTTTGCCAGAAGAGGGCATCAGAGCCCTTGGAATGGAGTTATTGGTGGTTGTGAGCTGTCATGTGGGTGCTAGGAACTGAACCACTTACTTCCTCTGCCAGAGCAAACAGTACTCCTAACCACTGAGCCAGCTCACCAGCCCTCACTAATAACATTTTCTTATTTCATAGCTTTTTCTTCCTTTTTCCTTTGTTTTGTTTCACCTTAAGAACTTTTAAACTTTCTTTATCCAAAAATAAGTACTTAATTTAAGATGACTTTTTATTACATTTTTATTATCTTGTTTAAAACATACTGAAGTGCCAGGAATGATGGCACATCTGTAATCTCAGTAGTTGGAGGGCAGAGGCAGGAGGAGGGCCACAAGTCTGAGGCCAACAGGACATAAATAAATAAATAAATAAATAAATAAATAAATAAATAAATAGCATGATTAAAGGAATAAGAAAAACATAAATTCATCACGATGAAACAACAAAGAATTTAGAGCTATAAAAACAACACAGCAAAAATCAGGAATTTGAGACACTAGATACTACAGGAGGCTCATGAGGCTTGAAGCTAAAAACAGGGAACTGATATTTCTGTAAAAGAAATCTGTCAGGTTCCTCACCACACCATCCAGTCAGGTGACTAACCTCCAAACCCAGCAGAGCAGGAGGTTCATTGGAGGGCTGGAGAATCAGGTCTCTGGGCTCAGTCATTAAAAAGAGCAGTGATGCCAAATTAAGAGTTAAAGGGATTAAGTAAAAGTTAGGAAGCCAAGTGTATATCCTAGGAAGGAGATCAGAGAATCTTCTACAAAAGCTAACAGTACTAAATGGAAGAAGACAGGCAAGTGCTTGAACCTAGGAAGGAAATGACAAGACCCTACCCAACCACTCTGCAATGAAGCCCACAGAGGTCAAGCCCAAACACAAAATAGAGTAATTTTTTTTCTATAAAATTTCTTTCTGTTAACTTTTTTCTATAAAATTTCTTTCTGTTAACTTTTTTCTAAAAAATTTCTTTCTGTTAAGTTGTTTAACAAAAGATAAACAGGCAAGGAAAGCTTTTGTCTTCATTGACAAGGGCTGAGGCTATAGCTCAGTGTGCAGCACCTGGCTAGTGTCTGTGAGGCTCTTGATTCAATTCCCAGCACCAAAAAGTAAAGAGAAGGCTGAAAAAGAGAAACAAAGCAACTCATAGCAAAACAGAAGCATATAAAAAAAACTTCAAGCAAAAATTCATTCATACTTTTTTCATTCAGATAGAGATGATAGATAGATGATGACAGACAGACAGAGATAGATAGATGATAGATAGATAGATAGATGATAGATAGATACATAGATAGATAGATAGATAGATAGATAGATAGATAGATAAATAGATGTTTTGAGACACGGTCTTACTAAGTAGCTCTGGTTGGCCTGGAACTTGAACTCACAGAGATTCACCTGCCTGGGCCTCTTGAATGCTGGGTTTAAAGGAGTAGGCCACTACACCCAGTTTTCATTACTGTTTTATTCAAAGGAATGCTCAGAGGACAGGAGAAAAGAGCTTAGTTTAAACAAATGACAGACACAATAGGGCTAAAAGGGATCAATACAGAAGGCAAAAAGAAAATGGAACAAGTTTTTGAGACTTTAAAATATAAAAAGGTCAACCCAGGCAATTCAATATCCAACTGATAAGGATTCAAGTACAAAAGAACAGAAAAATCAGTGAATTTCTAGAATTAAAAGACATGCATTGCCCCAAACACCTGAGACCATGAATTTTTCAAATAGAAATATGCTAGGCATATCTCTCCCCCAAATCAGACATGGGACGTAGGTCTGTGATAAGAGTGTTGCACAGAATATAAAAGGCCCTGTGTTCAATTCCCAAAAAGAGAAAGAATCAAGCCTCACATACCAGGAATATAGAGAAGATCTAGGAAATTCCAGAGTCAAAAAGGAAAAAGAGGAAACTGTAATAAATAGCTTTTTCAAATAGGAACAAGGGAAATTCACCTTCAACCTAGCTGTCCAACCATTCCTGCCATTCAGATGAGGACAGTTTTGATTGGTCTTTGATGCTGGGCAGAGGCTGGGTTTATAGGGTGGTAGTTCTGTGGTCAGGGAAGGTTCAATTTGATTGGCCACATGCATTTATGCTATTCTGCCTGCTTTGGTTCTGCATGAAAGGAACTGCTCTTGTCTTTTGGAGGATGCATCCCCCAAACCACTTTTGCATTTGGGAAATACAGGGACCCATTCCCTTTTTGGTTCTCAGTTGTGATCTCTGCACAACAGATATTCTTTTTTATTTTTCTCTGTGTATTTTCTTACTCATTTACTTTCTCTGTGATCGAATAATAATAATGCTGTAATAAAACCTTCGTGAATTTATCTTTTTCTTTTTGAGATAGAGTGTTATGTAGCCAAGGCTAACCTCCAACTCTGTGTAGCCAAAGATGATCATAAGCTTTTGATTTCCCTGCCTCCACTTCCCAAGTGCTGGGATTATAGGCATTAGCACCCCAGGTCTATGAGGTGCTGGAGATCAAACCTGGAGCTTCCTGCATGCTAGGCAAGCACCCTACCCAACTGAGCTACATCCCCAGTCCATGAATTTTTCTTTTTTCCTTTTCCTTTCCTCCCTTTCCCTTTCCCTTTTCTTTTGCCTTCCCTTCCCTTGTCTTTCTTTGTCTTGTAGCTCCAGCTGGCCTGGAACTTGCTGTATAGACCAGGGTGGCCTCTATCTCAAAGATCTGCCTAGCCCTGCCTCCTGAGTACTGGAATTAAAGGTGTGTACCACCAACTCCAGGATGTTCATGCCCTTTGACAATGTAACCCTACTTCTAGAAACATATGTAAAATTTTTCTTGAAGATAAATTTGTAGCTGGCCTTGGTGGCACATGCTTTATATCCAGCCTGGGGAGTCAGTTCAAGGACAGCTGGTCCTGGACAGCCAGGCCTACATTATGAGACCCTGTCTAAAAACAAGACAAAATAAGACAAAAAAAAAAAAAAAAAAAAAAAAAAAAAAAAAAAAAAGAAAAGAAACAAAACAAAAAAGCAACAACATTCTTACTACTTTAAAGAAATTTTTTTTTCTGTTTATAAGGTGTGCACTTATATTAAAATGGTCTCAAACAGTGTACAGGAAGCCCTGGTTGCCTTTTTATTTAAATTACTGAATGATTTCTGCAACACTTACTTCAAGTTAGCAGGCAGAGCTGACTGCTTGCACAGGCACCGTCAACTTTGGTCATTCAGTTAGCATTTTTTCCCCAGTTTCAGAAGTGAAATGATCACAATGCCTTGTTCCAGCTTGATGACTGATGAGGTTCTTTCTTTTTAAATATTTAGAACCATTTTGAAAACTGTAGCTCTAAAATGTCTTGTATTTTGGGGGAATGCAAAAATGGATTGGGTGATTAATAACTAAACAGAATGGCATATAGTTACTGTTGAGTGCAACTTAAATTGCCAGAAAACTGATATAATGAACTGTCTTCAGGATTGATGGTTAACGTACATTTGAAAATATTTGTTGTAAATTTTAATTATGCAGAATATGTAAAAAGAGTTTATTGATATGCTAGAAGCTCGTATTAAAGCTCTTTCTCTCATCTAGTAAAAAAGACAAGCACATTTTAGAATTTTACTTTAAAAAATGTTTTACAGAGCATGCTGGTGTGGTGGTACAGATGGGCCTGTAGTTCCCAAATCTCAGTAGGCAAGGGAGGAAAACTTTGAGTCCAGGAGTTACAACCAGCTTGGCCAACATCATGAGACTCTCTTTAAAAGAATTTTTTTCCTTACAGGGTTTAAAAAAAAAAATCTTATCTTGAATTTCACCTACGTGTTACTAAATTGGAAATAATTCCTTTATTGTGCTCTTACAGAAATGGGACGCCGGTCATCAGACACTGAAGAAGAAAGCAGAAGCAAGAGGAAAAAGAAACACCGAAGACGGTCATCATCAAGCAGTTCTTCAGACAGTAGGACTTACAGCCGCAAGAAAGGTGGAAGGAAATCGCGGTCCAAGTCCAGGTCTTGGTCCAGAGATCGTCAGCCTCGTTCACATTCTTATGATAGAAGGTAATCTCATAATCTTTATTTTAACAGTAATAACAGTAATGTTCTTTAGAATTCATTTTTTTGTCTTTTTAATTTAGTTGTATAAAACAATTTTCTTTTAATAGGTACTTATGAGGCCTAAATCCCAGCCCAAAGGTTTTTTTTTACATCAGGTGTATTGTCCTTATCCTTTGTTTACTTGTAGGCAAGTAGATATAAACTGGTTTATTTCTTGTACTATCTGATGATATTTGGAAAAAATTATATACTACTATGACCAATAATATTTTTTTTAATTATTTATTTAATAACCACATACTTAGAAGAAGCATTTCATTACAACAGCATTGACATATTCAATAATAATTTCCAGAGCTAAGATGCATCTCTTTCAAAATTGGCTGTAAATTTTTAGGTTTACAGTTGAATTATTACAGTTATACAATATTGTACTCAGTATAAACCCTATAAGAAATAAAATTAAATGAGGTTTTAACCTTTAAAAAAGATCTCCATTTCATTCCTACCCACAGGCCTCTCTCCGGGGTAAGTCCATCATGCCCTCTGCGCCTTGACTACCCCAGCCTCATTCACCCTTCCATCTCCCCCACCAGTCTCTTCTCTTAGTTTAGGTCCTGCCCCATTCCTTCTCTCAGGGCCCCAGACACATGGGGAACCAATACTGCTTCCTGATCCTTTTCATCCAGACGAACATAGTGCCTTCTCTGGGCCCCAGGAGCACTGCTTCTGGGCCTGGCCCCGCCCTCACCTCCCTCTGCTTCCCTGGGCCTGTACCACCCACCAGCCTCTTTCTGGGATGCAGGGGCTGACCTTTCCTCTTCCTGATCCTTTGCATCCAGACCAACCCAGCTCCTCAGTGTCATCCCCAGGAGTCCTTGGGGCCTCTTCCCACCTCATCTGCCTTTGCATCTCTGGGTGGCACGGCCACCAG